AGAGAGAGAGAGAGAGAGAGAGAGAGAGAGAGAGAGAGAGCCTAACATGAGTTTATAGAGCTAACACGACGACACGAGTCAGCTTACAGTTGACTAACAGTTAAAGCTTGTTAGAGAACAATCGAGCAAACCGATTGAGTGAGACAAAGCCCACCAGCTGCTACCATTTGCAGCACGTACGCTACACTACCTATTGCGGTAGAGTTATAACCGCTTAGGGCTCCCTAAACGACAAATAACACAGCCGAACAAAATGGCGCATGCATGCCTCCCCCGGGGAAATTTGCACGCAATCATATTCAACTGCTGGTGCGTTCACACAGTTACTCAGCGTTTGACACGGCAGGTGTCCTGTAGACTGCGTCGTCATGCCAACCCTAGTGGCTGATACCATAACGGAAGTCAGTCGCCGTTTCACACTTCCTGTTTGTAAACCGACGACGATGTATCACTACGCGCGACGCCAGCAGAGTACCCGTATGTGCACTTGATGATTTGCTGACGTGTGCTGGTGGCATCGCCATTAGCGTGACGCGTTTATAATTAGCGCAATTAAAACTTGCAAGCCTCCCGAGGATGCTCTAATGCACCAACTACTAAGCTTTACTCTAGGCTTCACTTAACGCTGACATGTCCACGCGGTGCTGGCTGCAGAACATGCATTCACATGGAGCGAGGAAAAAAAACTTCACCCGCAAAACAGCTTGTAGCGAGTTTTACGCTGAGTGATTTGGGACAGAGTGAGGATGATCTATATCTATGTTAACCTGTATCGTTATATAGCTGCTTATATTACAGCGTCGGTATCGATCGCTATTCGATATACGGGAATCTCTAGCAAGATAGAGAAAGCTGTGTTAGCGAGCGATGCACATGATAGTATAGATAATGACCATATAATATATTACTATTACCATTACCATTATTACCATATAATATATTACTATTACCATTACCATTATTACCATATAATATATTACTATTACCATTACCATTATTACCATATAATATATTAATATTACCATTACCATTATTACCATATAATATATTACTATTACCGTTACCATTATTATCATATAATATATTACTATTACCATTACCATTATTACCATATAATTTATTACTATTACCATTATTACTATTACTTATAACATTACTATTACCATTTAATATATATAGTACTACGTGCCATAGTCTTACATAACGGTGTACATAACCTCCATATCTACGCGGTTTGTCCGCGGCACGGCAACGATGGCCACTTGTAACCTTGTAACGGAAGCAGCAATGACGTCGGCGTGTATCCGGTGTGATTACGGCCGCCCCGCGGCGCTGATGTCGCGCCAGACGATGAGCAAGTGAAACGTGACTAGCTAGCAAGCATGAAGCACGCGCGCATACAGACCTGCAACCATGTTCTGCTTGCATCTATAACAAATACGACATACGCATATATACGCTCTCCTATGACACTATTTGACATAGGAAGATTCTTTCTATGACGAATATTGGCGAGTCAACTTCGTTCCGCTTTACAGCTGAAATTCACTGCTTGCGTTCATAATAGCGCTCCTAAATATGCGCGCACAACACGTACAGCAATATTTGTCATAGGAAGAATCGTCCTATGACAAATCGTGTCATAGGAGAGCGTATATGCGTATGTCGTATTTGTCATAGATGCAAGCAGAGCAGACTCAAACCGGTCTACTCTTGCCGGAAGGAGGGGGGAGGGAGAGGAGAGAGGAAGAGCGGACGAGAATTAGTCTGACAGCTACTTGGGGGGGGGGATAGATCTAAGCGGGTTATAACGCGTTCGCCTCGACAGCGCTCATTTTCTTCAAACAGCATCTTCAGACGAATACGAGTAAGAATGCCGACGGAATTTGATGCGGGTTTCAAGTACGCGCGTGCGTGCGTGCGT